ACCTGGACATGGGGGGAATTGGCAAGATCAAAGGTCAAGATGGTTTTTCTTGGGGGGGGAGGTATCAGAATCACAATTGGGGAAGCTCGGGCACAAAGATTCTGTACAGCTCCGTGGCCGCGGGAAGAGGTATAAACAGGATCAAAGCAGATATAATAGAAACAACTTACTCTGGAGCAAACAACACGCCGGCAAGAATGGGAACAGGCCACACCCACTGCACAGCAAAAGGAATCCTATATGCCCACTCGTCTGTGCGTCCACTAGACCCCTTGTTGACGGCCGCGGCGAAGAACTGTCCAATAACCCAGCACATGTTGATAAAGGTAGTCAGATAGGGACGCAGCACAACTGGTGCAACCTCGGATGCGTATGCCGGTGTTATACTTTGAAATGCGCCCCAAGGGATGCCTAGCATCTTTATTAGTTTGAAATAAAGAAAGAAAGAAAAAAGGCACAGAACAGTCACGCATATGCAAGTCACCTGCAACAATGTCAAAAAAGGAGACTTGAACTCACCACACAACACCTCCCCTGCGACCAGGACCCCAACACTCGGCGCAAATACCAAAACAAACACGAATGCAATCATCAGGACCAGAAACAGCACCATGCTCTTTTTATATCCCCATCTGTCAACCGTCCACCCCGCGAGGATCAAGCCAATGATCTCGCCTGCCCTCGCGCCGTTGGACAAGCCAGACTGCCAGGCAGCACTGACGGCGTGTTTCCCGGTGGAAGGGTTGTACGCGCCGTATTTGCGGCTGAACGGCTGCGAGGCGTACAGGTTCCCCAGCAGAGCCAGGTCGTAACCTTCCATGATGAGGGTGGAGGAGAGGAGGACCGACCAGAGGATGGCTTTGGGGTAGAGACCGAGGGCGGTGCCAAGGGACATGGATTGTTCGGCGACGGCGCCAGACTTGGCTTCTGCTATGAGGCTAGATTTGGGGTCGTAGTCGCCATCTTTCCTGTGCTCGTGGTGTTGGGGGCTCTGGACTTTGATGTCCGTGGATGATGGATCCTTAGCCGCCATGATGAAGACTGACAGAGTGAAGGGGGAGTATGATGAGGATAATCAGTGGACCAAGGTGCAGGCCAACGCCATGGCGATGAATGTAACGTTGGCGGCAACATGAACCCTTTTTATCCTTACTCTGGACTCTGGAGAGACAAATTCATGACTATAGTGGAGAAGCCTCGTGGCTTTTTTTACTCTTCCGGCCCATGGGGAAATAGTCGTGTGGGGTGCATCGGCTGTCGAGAGTCTCGCAGCTGGAGTTGACAACGTCTAACAGGAGACTCCGCGTGATACGGCTGTTGACAGGGAGGGCGGCGGAGTTATACGGAGTTGTGGGGATGATGCTGTGGAGGCAAAGCGCGGAGTCTCCGCGTCCGAGCCGTCCTGTTGAGGTAATTCTAATTTCGGACGGAGTGTCCGCCATCATGAGAGTCAAGGCCGACGGTGATGCGGTATTAATGTTCAACAACGTACCGGACCATGGTGAAAATTACAAATATGTTGGATCAAGGAGCACGAGAAACGAGTCTTCTTTCATCTTGCTGCAAAGCCATCTTTTGCCCTCTTCCAACCTCAACCGGTCACTTTGCGCCAATCGACATGGGTGCCTTCATTCGCCATGAGACACCTTACTGGAAAGAGGCAACCTTTTACCAAGTCTATCCAGCTTCCTTCAAGGACTCCAACAATGACGGTTGGGGAGACCTTCCCGGTCTCATCTCCAAGCTGAACTACATCCGCGATCTAGGCGTTGATGTAATTTGGGTTTCGCCCATTTTCGAGTCGCCCCAGAAGGACATGGGATATGATGTTTCCGACTACCAGGCCATCTACGCACCCTACGGCACGGTACAAGATGTCGACATACTCGTGGAGGAATGCCATTCGAGGAACTGAAAGTCATCCTAGACCTGGTGGTTAACCATACCTCGTCTGAGCACCCGTGGTTCAAAGAATCGCGGTCATCAAGAAACAACCCCAAGCGAGACTGGTACATCTGGAAACCGGCGCGGTACGACAAGAATGGTATCAGACACCCTCCTACCAATTGGCGAGGGTACTTTGCGAGCTCAACCTGGACATGGGACGAGACAACGCAGGAGTACTACCTCCATTTGTATGCCGCCGACCAGCCAGACCTCAACTGGGAAAATAAAGAATGTCGAGAGGCCATCTACGAAGAAACTATGCGCTTTTGGCTTGATCGCGGGGTTGACGGATTCCGCATCGACACGGTGAACAAGTACTCGAAGCGACAAGATTATGTCGATGCGCCGATTACAGATGCTGATTCTGAGCACCAACCGGCCCCGGAGATGTGGTGTAATGGCCCTAGAATACACGAGTTCATCAACGAGATGAACCGCAAAGTATTGGCTCCGTACAATGCCGTCTCTGTGGGAGAGCTATCCTTGACTCCGCACCCGTCTCAGGTTGTCCCATATGTGTCTGCCGCGGCTAAAGAACTCGATATGGTTTTTGAGTTTTCCGTGATTCGTCTTGGAACGGGGGACGGTTTCGGGGCAAAATATATTTACAACCCGTACCCTCTCACCAAGCTCAAGGACCTCACACAAACATGGCAGTCGTTTGTTGAAGGAACAGACGCTTGGGTAACTGCCTTTATAGAAAACCATGACAACGGCCGAGCCATATCGCGATTTGGAAATGCTTCCACTCGCGAAAAGTGGCTGTCGTCTGGCAAGACTATTGCTCTATGGCAAGCTACCCTCACCGGGTCGCTCTTCATATACCAGGGGCAAGAGATTGGCATGGTGAATATGCCAAGGACCTGGGGCATAGAGGAGTACAAGGATATCGAAAGCCGCAACTTTTACGCCGAGGCAGCTGCGTCAGGTAGTGACGAGAGGGTGCGAGACACAATGAAGGGTCTGCAGATTCTGGCAAGAGACCACTCGAGAATCCCCTTTCAATGGGACAGCTCACCCCATGCTGGATTCACCGACAACGGAAAGCCTTGGATGCGAGTGCACGACAATTACCAGTCCGTCAATGCCTCGCAGCAAATTGAAGACCCGGAGTCGATACTAAACTTTTACAAGGCCGTCTTGAACATGAGGAAGGAGTATTGTGATGTCTTCATCCACGGATCCTTCAAGCTGATTGACGCAGAAGACGAGAAGATTTTCGCATATGTTAAAACATCTAGCAAGCGGGTCAATGAGCGCGGCCAATTGGCAAAGGCAGTCGTGGTGCTGAATATGAGCGACGGAGAACACGAGTGTCCGAATCTAACAAAGTCGCTGAAGGGCAGCGAGGACGACTGGCGGTGTTTGATCAGTACCGAAACAGGTATTGCGGGGAGCAAGGCGGATAGATGCTCATTGATCGGTGCTTGGCATGGGCGCGTGTATGTCAATTTTAGCAATTATCAATAAGTTGGTGATGTCAGAATTTATTCGAGCTAAGCGGCCTGATTTCGCTTCAAATCCACGTTGATTCATATTGTGCGTTTCGGGAGCCTCCCTCATGACGTCTCATGCCCCAGGCTGTTGCAAATGCGTGCACGAGACAGACAGCCAGGCAGCTAGTGTGATCCTTTGCTGCGGGCTGGCTGACATCTTGCTTTCCTAGAAGCTTCCCCAGATGCCAAGGAGGTCTGGTTGTATGTCAACTGGTGGTTTGATGCGGCCCACTAGCCCCATGTGAGTTCGACAGCTAGACGGGGTTTCTAGGATACTGGCGGAAGCCAAGTGGAATTGACAGCAACCTTGATGGGAAATAGTCGGGATGTGTTGTTCAGTAAAAGGAATCAAGGGAAGTGAGTAGGAAGAGCTAGCGCTTTCGAAGAACTCGTTTCGAACAAACTGGCAAAGCCGATGAGGAGCCTGGTGGTGAGGCAGTTGGCATCGGAGATTTTGATGATTCATCTGCATGCTGCCACCACTGCTGAAGCCACGGGCTGCCACGGGCTGCCACTCAGGCCGTCCTCATCATTCCGTTGGTCAACAGCACCGCTCCTTGGCAGGGACCATGAATCGCGCAAGAGCCATCTGGCGTCAATAGCTCGCTCGGAGCAAAATCAGCCATTTCAAATACATTTGTCGATGTCGTGTCGTGACGCCACTGCAGGTTGGTACCCCTGGGCGCCAACTTGGTGACCTGGTAGCTGGGTTTGCTGGTGTTTTGCCGGCCTGCACTCCGTCCGGAGTACTCGGCAGCTTTTGGCACTGACCTCGTGTGGCAATTTACTTCCTGGAAGCGTCATGGCAAGCCAGCCGATGTTGGATGTTAGTTAAATGGCACATGTTAGACGTTGGACGCTGTACGTTGGATCTCCGCGCTTCGGAAATCACTTCCCGAGCCAAAACCGACAAATGGTTTTATGTCGTGGTTGGCTGGGAATTTGACAAATGATGCGAGTGGGAAGAAAAAAAGGCAAAGACGGGCAAAGACGGGCGAGACGAAATATTCTGGTCCCCAAAGAGCCGGAACATCCACGAAGATATCGACGGGCCATCCCGTACTCCGTACGCAAGTGTCGTATTGTCGATGGCTGGGCACATCGCACGGTGCAGATGCGGAGCATGCTTGTAGTTGAGAAGGTCAACTGGTCCGGAGTGAGGAAGGAACGAGCCTGTTCATGCCTGTGCCAACCAGCCAAACCAACTTCGTCGCAGCACCATCTCATCCATCTCTCATCTCACATCTCCAGTCTCCCCTCTGCCGTCTTCCATTGCTTCATGGAATGTTCTACCTTTTTGTCGGCCGTCCCTGTCTGCAGACGTTAAAGTTGGCCGGTGGCTGAGCTGGCTTCTTCTCTCGCTGGCACCCAAGCAAGCAATGGTGGCACATCTCCACAAACTTAGCGCCATGTCTCGCTGGCCCTGGCATCTCGCATAACCCTGCTAAAATGAACTGTCAGTTTTTTTTTTTACTCCGTACGACGCTGCCAAATTGCGCTGAAGTCACTGCCGACCAACGTCGCGCTGACCCAACCTGCATTTAGTCAGTCTTTTACATGATGTCGTTACACATGTACAAGGTTTTGGACCAGCCTGTCTTGACATGCCCCTGTCGTGTGGCTAACCGAGTTCTGTGCGTTGACATGAGATCGCTTTGGCACCCGGGGAAAGCTGGGGATAGCTGCGGGATCTTCATCTGAAGCCGCAACTTCGTTCGTTGACAAGACGTGCAACGACAATCGAGCCCCCGCCGTATTTCGGGTTTCGAGGTCCAGACGGAGCTAGGGGCGTGATGCAATTCCACACCTCGTATGGCACACTGGGCACCTATCCGAAGACATTCCAGATACTCCGTATACGCGGTAAGATTAGTCCCAAACAGAAACAAAACCAGTCTCGAGCACTGATCCTACATGTCAAATTTTGGTCAACTCTCGCCCCATTTCGATATTGGACCCCCGCCCAACGGAGGCTACATTTGTAGTCATCAGCTGGGATCGCACCGGCGAAATGGTGGCGCAAGCCAGGGTCAGTTCAGGTGCGCCGCCGACTGGTTAGAGTCTTCAAGGCTCCAGCGGGTGGCGAGAAGGACGCTGAATATTACTTCAATGGTGGAATGGTTGAACGGCAAACAGGTACGGAGTGCTCCACGAGCTCATGGGGCAAGCCCAGAGTCAGGTGGGAAAACATGGGTAACACAAGCAGCCAAAGTTGTGGACGTTGGGTGTCCGTGTGTTTTATTAATTGGCCAACCCTACCAACAAATCGACAACGACAGTTACTAATGCCTCCCATCTCACATCATCTGTGTCTTGCTTTTGTGCATCATTGATTCCGGTGCAGACTCTTCGCCACATGCCTGATTGACGGGGGCTTTGCAGCGGCCAAGCTGCGAGGCTTTATTGTCCCTTTAATTATCCCCCTGGCGTATCCTTTTACTTCCAACCGCCCAACATCTCGGGCATGCTTGTTCTGCGAGACCGTGGTGGCAATTCGCAGACGAAACGATAGCTTCCGCTGACGACGAGGAATACCAACTGCGTATTCGTCGTACGCCGTATAGCTCACCAACAGCAAACCGCCGGACTACTATATACAACTCGATGGGAACCAACTTTCGCCGCTAAGCCCAAGCATGCAACTTCTCCTCGTGTCATGGGCTATTCAGGCAACCCGGGAGCTGGTCCCGTAGACCATGGTGATGCGATTTATGCCATAGTGGCATTTGTGGCACTGGCCCTTTATAATGCCATTGAGCTGAACGTCGTCATCTTTTCCTCGTTTCGACGATTCAAGGGCCTTTACTTCTGGAGCTTTGTTGCCGCCACCAATGGTATTATACCACACTCGATCGGTTTCCTCCTAAAAAATGTCATTGGGTCGCACAACTACGGCGTATACATTACCCTCGTCGCCATGGGCTGGGTACCAATGGTTACCGGTCAATCCTTGGTGCTTTACTCTCGACTTCATTTAATATTCTGGAACCAACTCTATCTTCGACTGGTCCTTGGCATGATTATCGCCAATGCCTTTATCCTCCATACACCCATCATCATTCTGATGTACGGGTCAAACAGCTCGCCCAATAACTCGTGGGTGCATCCCTACGTCGTTTACGAAAAGATCCAAGTCACCATGTTTTTCCTACAAGAACTCATAATATCAGCGATATATATCAAATGTTGCTTTTCATTTTTCGACGTTCGAGACAGCTTATATGGGGACGGGGTGCGCAGGATGCGGCGCCACCTGCTGTGGGTCAATATTCTTGTTATCCTTCTTGATATCCCCATTTTGTGTTTGGAGTATGCGGATTACTACGACATGCAAACTGCATACAAGGCGTTCGTGTATAGTGTAAAGTTGAAGTTGGAGTTCAGGATTCTGAATAGGTTGGTGGAAATGACAAACGAGAGGCACAGCGTGGATCCGTTCCGGGATAGCTCGAGCTTGCAGATTCAGCATGTATCCTCGGGGTCTACAGCGTGTCAGTCCCGAGGTGGCAATGTGTCTGATGTATGAACATCCAAGCTCGTTGGACCAGTGTCTTTTTGTTTCACTAGGATGTGAGCGTAAATTCCGGCAACACATGCCATCCACCGTGTCAATTGGCATTCAATCTTGTCCACATTTGTACAAATGACCCAAATCATGATTGCGGTATTGTTGTGACAAGAACTATATAAAACGTGGTATTACCTTCGCATTTCTTGGAGGGTTTCGTCAAACCACAGGCTAATCGGCATACATCGTTCAGGGTCAAGCCATGTTATGAGAGGACCATGTTGATCATTCACCCTTTGTGCGTTCCAAACACTACGTGCAAAAGGGGCCGATTTTCGGATGCACTATATTTAACCAACTATATCACGTTCTTGACTCCCGTTTCTCGCGATTAGCGTGGCGGCTAGTCTCCGGAAACTCGCCGAAACACCAGACCATTTTCCCACTACCCCAACATGGCTACTCTATTACTTACCATGGCCAAGCTTTTACTAACCTAGATTCGCAAAGTTGAAATACATCCAATATCTATAGCTTGTTCCTAATTCTTTCCAAGAAGATGAAACTAAAGATGCAATATAAGTATAGCTGAGTCGGGGGAATGTTCGTGTTCAAGGTTGGTATTAATTGAATGTTGTGCAATTACTCTCATATTTTGCAGTCGGTCGTACTTAACGGTTATATATTGACAAGCTGGCGCGTGCAAATATTGCCCATTTGTAAAATTTGGAATCGCTTCCGTACTAAAGCTCCAGTAGGGAAGATTATTTGTCGTGCCGATCTGTTTGCCTAGTGTGTCTGCACTTACCCGGGATTTTTGACGCCATGGACTATCTCTAGCCTAGGTGCCGTCTGATAGCTCATTACGTACCTCTTGGGTCACAGAGGTTACCAGAAGCTATGCTTGGGCATAGGGAGTCGAGTTGTCATGGTCGCTCGCCACTATCTCGACTGTGTTGACTGGAGTGATGACGAGCACCCAACTTCGTTCACGTCTCTTTTCCGCCTTTGCCTCGCTTCTATGCTCGTTGAATCCCGCTCTTGCTCGAGAAGGTGTGAACCACGGATTAACAGTCTCAAGGGAAGAGGATACTTAGTGTCACGTATACGGATTATGACCATGGATGTCCAAAAGTAACGGCCGTCGTGCTTGAGCAATGTGCGCATTCGCATTTTTGCATCTGACAATTACTTGAATCTACCGTAATACACAGAACTGCAAAAGGAGTTTTCGACGGAGGTCTTGGCATGATACCGGAATATGGTGCCACTGACATTTTTACAAGGCATCGACATTGCGAAAGATGATGGCTCAACGGGATAATAAATTCAATAGAAATACACCAAAATTTCTTGTGCAAATTGTAGCCGTAGCTCTGAAACATCCCCTCGCCTTTCTCGCAAGTATTCCACACCAAGTAAGTCATGTTCATTCTATAAAGCACGTGAAAGATGCGGTACCTGGACCGAGAGCTACTCTTGTACACCATGATGAAACTAAATTTAACTAACACAGAACAGCTATTACGGCCTACAATACTGTAGCAGAGGCAAGACCTAGCCACGATGCTATATACGTGCACTCTCGCGTCAAACCGGGATCCTGCACATGCAAAGGCGTGTTGTGCCAATGATAGACAAGCCTAGATGGCCAGAAGAACCGCACCCAAATCACCCAGGGCGACAGCAGCGTTTCTGCCTGCGCCAGCGGTGACGATGGGAGGGCTAGTGGCACTGGCAGTGCCGTTGGCCGAAGGGGTGGTGCCCGTCAGAGTGCCTACAGCAGTGGAAGAAGCAGGCGGCGCGCTGGAAAGCTCGGTCTCGGACGTAGTTGCCGGCTCAGAAGGGATCGAGGTTGGAGTTGAAGTTGTCTGTGCAGGCTGGGTACACGCCTTGATGCTTGGTGGAGGAAGGACGCTCAAGGAGATGGTATCGCCACAGTCCTCGAGAGACTGTCCATTCTCGCAACACCCGGCATTGGTGCAGTAGAAGCCCGTGGGGCAAGTTTCTTGACATATGCGTCAGTATGGCCGTCGGCAACAGCCATCAACGGAGCTGCAAGGGGGACGTACTGCCGCTGGAGCAGCATGAGTCTCCTCTGTCGGGATTGTAGCAGGTGGGAAAGGAGATACACTCGACGAAGCCGACTCCGCAAGAGCGCTCGCAAGTGTATGGAGCGGGAACGGGCTTTCAAAGCTCCATCTGCCGCTCACAGACGTTCCTCAAGGCAGTCAAGGCAGCCGAAGACCCGGCCTGGAGGGCGGCCGACGCCGAGGAGACGCTGGCAAGGGCGAGGACAGCAAGAAGTTGCATGGTGAATAACGAGTGCAGTAGACGTTGCAAGAGATCGATGGACTGATAGAGGGCAAGATCGATATTCTGGGAAGAGAACAAAGAATCTCGGGTCGGAGCCTGCACGCCCGACTTATAAATGATGGCTCTGACATTGGCTGATGCCAGGGATCACGGTCAATGGACAACCCCTACAGGCACCACGGCAATTGGGTATGGAAGTTTGCAACATAGCATGGTCCATGAAGTTGCATATAAGGCGGCTTTGCGAGAATGGTGTTGTTCCTCTATCCAATCAGACTTTCTGTTACCTGGAACGGGCTGGAGTAACCACCCTTCTCTGGCGTGCCCTCGTCAACCACACACGTGTGGCGTCTTGCTGTAATTCAGGAGCTGACAAAAGTCGTGAAAAAACTTGAAGCTCCCTGGCCTTCGCTCTTGGTGATGAAGCCAGGCTGAGAGGATTTGCATGACCGTCATGGACGAGAGCTTAACACGTACTTAAACTTACAACTTGGGCGTGTAAGACGCAAACTACACAGTGTTAGGATAAATAATTTCTCCATGTACGCAAATAGCAACACTTATATTCCGGTGGCTTGCATACCCCTGGCAGCAAAACGGCCTACGACGTCGCTGTGTAAGGCTAGGCCTTGAGTTGGTGCGGCTACCCTTGGCCATTGTTTTTGTTCTTCTGAGCAAGTTTCGGTCGCTCTCTGCATATTTCCTCCCACGGCGTGAAATTGGTGAGTATTTGCTCGAATCGTTATACAGCGCAGCAGAGTTCGTCTGCGTACGAGCAGGCTTCCATTATGGATTACCTGCCAAACGAACTGGTTGGAGGACAGGGGGCAGTAGACAGATACATGGGTGTACACGGCCAGACGGCGAATCCTGTGTTTCTTTTCCGAGCTCCATTCACCATTTTGGGCAGTATCATCAGCTAGATATCTACCAATCCGGTACGAGACGATCCATTAGGAAGCCTGCGAAGGACCTACAGCTCGCTCCAAACATCGTAAAACATGGCCTCTTTACCGTGGCGTTTGAGCTCTTGTGTTTTACTTCATATAACCAACAGGGGAGTTGAAAAAAAGCGTCACTAAAAACGAATACGACATTTATATACCACTAAAAGGATTGCAGGTGTTCCAGAACCGGTTCAAGAAATGTACTGCCCGCAGACCAGCACACTCTCTCATAGGCTATAATTATCAGCGCCACGGCAGTACCAATACATAGTGATTCATTTCGCCCATGAAGCAATCAATCGACCATATCCGGAATGTGCGTGCCCATTGTCACCATCCAGCGACCAGAACCCCCTCAGGCCCAAGAAGGTGGGCGGCCACTAAGAAGACGATCCGGCCAAGCAGCGTCGATCTAGGCGGCCGCATGTATGAGCTGTAGACGATGTGAAATGTATCAGGTAGTTGTCCTGACATAGGTAGGTGACAAAGGCCACGAGCAATGCAGATTCACGTTCCGCCGATCACCATGCATCGTCAACCCCACTCTCGAGCGGTACAAGAGTGAGCCGCAAATACCCAATCCTCCGGATCTTGCTCAAGTTTCGTCTTTAGGAGACATTTCACTTTGGACGAGCAGCTGGTCTCGACGCTGAAAACCGCCAATATACCCCCCCCCCCCCCCCCCACCCACCCCCCCCCCCCTTTAGTCCAATCCCAAAACTGCCGCAGAG